ACATAAAAATATGTACTCTAAAACAATTGCGCGTATGATCGAGCACAATACACAGTTATGATTGTAAATATTCTTATAAAAAAGTGACAACTTATTCAACATTCAAAAATATTTTGATCAGAATCAAACATTCTCTTTCCAGTGTTATTAATTTGGAAGATAGATACCTTGCATATTCTTTCGGATTTGCAATATATATGTGTCTAATAACATTTATTGCATTTATTGTCCAATCTTTTGTATCATAACTAATGCTTAAAAAATTCAAGATAAAGATCCTTTATTGATTCTTCAATAATAACAAAACAAAACAAAACAATGAAACAATATTGAGAAGTATTTGTCAAAATATTTCTGATGAGAAGAATTTAAATTATACTATATTATGATATTCTTAGTCATCTGTTAACTTTATTATTATGAAGTCATTATTAAAGTTTGTGGTCTATCTTATGATAATATCAAATCATTAATTATGAGAACAAATTTCTTATAGATAACATATACTTAAATGCTAGCAAAAAACAAAAAAATAATTTTAAAAGATTTTTGTTTCTTGATATTAGTATTCATACTTTTATAAAAAAATTCAGAATTTTTCTTTACCTCATTGCATTACTATTGGTTTACTTGTTTTTTTTTTATTCACAAATAATATTTTATTTGTTGAAAGAATTAGAGAACATTTATATGCAATGCGTTCTTTTTACGTGTTTGATAGTAATAATATACTTGATAAAAATGTTGTTTTATATTGTTTATAATATTAAAAAGATTTGAATTTATTTCTATGTTCTAATAAAATATTAAGTAACTAATTTATTTCTATGTTCTAATAAAATATTAAGTAACTAATTCATGTATTCACAAAAAATACATTTTACAACCATTATGGTGCTCCCTTTCAAGCAATAATTGAATAATAGTTTAACATACAACCGATTTATTTTTTTTCTTTTAATTCACATATTTAATATTGGTAATAGTTGTACAATTACATCTAGTTGACTTTTTTCCTAGTATGAATATTTCAAATCTATGTCAGAAAAATATACCACAAGTTTATTTAATGTTATTTTATAATTAATTTAATTTAACATGGATCTATAATTATTTATAAGATTCTTTTAGGTCTATTTATTTTTAAATTGGTATTGATATATATATATATATATATTATTTTACATCGATATAAATAATTATATTATTTTTATTTTATTTACAAAACATTGGTAAAATCAAATATCATGGGAAAGAAATGATATGATATATTACATATAAAAGGGTTAACAAAAAAAAAAATCAGTATTTCAAAATTAAGAAATTTAATGGTAAAAATTAACTAATTTTTTAACTAAAAAATTATGACTAACATACCGATTTCTAAGACAAAAAAATAAATATATTTTTTATAAATGTGCATCTCAAGTATATTTTACATTTATCATTCGCTAGCTCCAATTGATATATGACATTTATTAATTTTATCTTTTTTTTTTTTTTTTTTACTTTTGAGTGGAATGTCAGTTATAAGCTTTCTCGTTGTGTAGTTTTACCTTTTTATTACGTAGAACATCATTTTTACATCTTGTTTAGTATTAACATTACCTTTTCAGTAGAACATCATTCTGACCTCTTCTTTAATTATTATAATACTAATGAAATATTTAAGGACTTTTCAACTTATATGTATTTTTTTTAATTACTAATTATCATAAATTAAATGATAATTACATTAAATATGTTATATTTTGTATCATTATCAACAATTTTCAAAACAATTAACTGCACACAATATTATATATAGTGCAAACTTTTTAGTTTGATTTGGAGTCATACTTTTACTACAAGAAAATGATGAAATTCCAATTAAAACATATTACAGCGAAATTTCAACAACAATTCTAACGAATATTTCAACGTTACAATTTTCGTTTAAATTTTTCAATGAAAATTATTACAAAAATATTTTGTTGTAATCATGTGCAGATCCATGTTTGTCCAATAGTCCCGAAACTGACATCATCCCAAAACAAATAGCATAAGATATCTAACAAACATTATGGCACATTTTTCATAATTTAATCATGTCCTCTATTTAGAAAATAAAATTAGAAGAATAAAAACAAATAATGATTAATTTACAACTCAACCAATCATAATTTAATTCAACTCATAACGTTATTAAAATTATAGCATCAATGCGGTTTCCCAACTAAAGAAAATATGATATCAAAGTTTACAATTTTACGCTCTATTTCTCTCTTTTCTTTTTATTCTTGATGATATCTTATTATCTCTCTTTTGAGACATAATTTTTATCTAATTTTAGAAAATATATTTTAAGTCTTTTTTAAATGTATGTAGAATTCTAGTTATATATTCGTAATTTATACATTCATCTATTATATTGTCGAGTCAACTATATTACAACATAAAATTTTTGTTCATAAAAAGATTTTGAAAAATGTATTATTTTTTTTATGATTTTCTTATGTCGAATTGAGAAAAAATATTCTTTTTTTTTAATATTATTGAACATAATTGATGTGTTAAAAAAAGTAATACATATGAGAAAGTTGACAAATTATGAAAAGTATACTTTATAAATTATAATGACATTATGTTGTTTTGATGCAATACTTTTTGTATTAATTAGATAGTGCTCTTAACATTAAATTATTTTGGATTCCCACTGCAGCTAGTTTTTCATTGGAACTTTCATTATTTTTCCCAATTTCAGTGACAATTTTTTTAATGGTTGAAATATGGCCGAAAAAGAAATCCAACGTAAATTCACACAAAAATAAATATTAGTAATTGAGATATTAAATCCATAAAAATTTTAATGTAATTTAATTTACTCACCATTGGAATAGCCAGTGAATCTTTTCAATAGAGGCTATACCAATGAAATATCTGTTGGTATTTTCTGTGGAATACCTAAACAACATCGATTTTAAATATTTTACTAATATTTATTAATAAACTTGTAAAATTAAATAAATATTGTTGAAACAATTCTCTTATTTGATAGGATACTTACGGTTAAATAAACTCTTAATTTTATTGAGAAAGTCATAAAAGTATTTAAGAATCTTGAATAATATCAATAAATAAAATATTTTATTTATAAAATTTTGAATTATAATCGTTTATAGAGCGCTCAACTTGATAATTAATTGCTCAAATAAAATAAGATTCGTTAACTCTATTAGCTTTGCGACCAAAATTTGAAAATACAAACCACTAAACAATGACGATTTTTGTGGGATCAAAATTCAATCAAATAAAACTAAGGTGCAATCTAATTCTAATTCTAAATACAAGAGTTTATTTTTCTTAAATAATGACCTAGTTAAATGAATCCTTCCATTATTCTAGTTTTTTAGATTATGTATATATTTCACGTGTGCATGATTTTTCGGTAATATTTTAGGTATCTTCTCTTAATTAAAGTTATGTATGTATCTTGGAAATTATTTATTATATAAAATTTACCCATCAACTAAGTTATCATGTTTTACCAAGATTTATCGTTTTGTTAAAAGATAGGTAAACAAATAGTTGAAATATTTAGATCTTTTATAAGTATTTATTATGTTATTTTTGTTGCATAATTTTTTGTTTAAATAAATTTTATATATTAAAATCATTAAATATGATTACGATTTTATCATCAAAATTATATTAAAAATAAGTGCGTTATTCAAAACAAAATTCAATAGCATTTCAAAACTTTGTTGTTTGGGTTACTGTTGAGTTGATTTTTTAGAGATATGAAAAAAAAACAGTTTGGGAGGTATGTGGAAGAAACCAAATTTTTGAAGAATAATGGTGTGAATATGTGGTTGATTTTTAAGAGATGTGGAATGTTTTGTTCATTTAATTGTATTAAATGAGTAAAATATTAAATGAGTATTAGTGTATTATTAATTTGACATTAAAAATATGTCAAATAAAGGACTTTTTAGGTAAATATTAGTTATTAATAAAAAAAAAATATAAGATGGGATATATATTATGTTATTACTAATTTTCCATTCAAAATATACCAAAGTAAGGGTATATTAGTTAGTTCTTTCTTTTACAAAAATACTCGTCCTTTTATAGTAGTATTCCGAGTTACCATTTTAGTTAGAACAACATATAGACATAGAATATAATAAAACATTTGGACTAAATATTGTATAAGATTATTTTGTAGATATATTGTTTACAAGAACCAATTTGTTTTGGTGGACTTCTGCGGAAGAGTTATTTTTTTTCCAACAGCTACTTAGCTAAGAGATCATAACAATTTCTTCAAAGACCACCTCAATCTCCATCACTTTTACTAAAATTTAGAATTATTTGAGTCATACTTTGAGCGTGGATCATAATAGTCTTCAATGTTACGCTGTTATTTATTTAATTAAATATTAGTGATTAACTAAAAAATATAAGATTTGAAGAGTATTAGTGTATTAATAATTTGCCATTAAAATTAAGTCAAAGTAAGGGTTTTTTAGGTAGTTCATTTGTTAATTAAAAATATAAAATAAGATGGGTATTACTGTATTACTAATTTAACATTAAAAATGTGTCAAAGTAAGGGTTTTTTAGGCAGATCATCATTTGTTAATTAAAAATATAAAATAAGACGGGTATTACTGAATTACTAGTTTGCCATTAAATATATGTCAAAGTAAGAATTTTTTAGGCAAATCATTATTTTTACAAAATTGATCGTCCTTTTATAATAGTATAGATAGATAGATAGATATTCCAATTTGGTCAATCAATACATTTCTATCACCCCATGCAGTTTAAATGTAGTCATCTTTTTTCATATGGTGGGAAAAAGGCACGGTAAAGAAACATCATCCATGATTTTAAACAAATGGATTGAAATTAACAATCACCAAGTCCTCAATATCTGCCATTTCACAAAAATCTACACCCTCTCACTATTATTTAAAGGGGAAAATGAATGATACATTAGACAATACATTTAAGTTACAAGTACAAAANACTCCGATCAGTCATCGACCACCGTCAAGAAACCCAAAGCCCCTGACCGGAAATGCTCGAACCACTCCCGCGGGCCCGCAAACGGCATTAGCCCACAAAATAACGGCAAAATTATCAACAGAGCAAAGAAAATCACCCTTCTCACCCAATATGGTAAAAGTACCGAACACTTGCCTTCGGCCCGCTCCACAACGGTGATGGGCCCATTTAAGATAACATAAAGATACGGGCTGAAAACATTCGACAAGAAATGCAACAAACAAAGGGCCTCCCAATAAATTAGCCAGTGGGACCCACTCCCTCCCAAAGTGTCCACACAAAATTTGCCTGCATAGCCACACATGACACCTAAGAGTAGGAGTATGAAAGTGACGGGCATCGTGTGATGTGAAGCGGAGGATCGTTGGATGAGTAGAAAGGCAATGGCTCCAATCATTAGAATTCCAAACAGCATTCGGCTCAAGACTTGGATTTGGCATTTTAAAAGATGAAGGCCCGTGTTGAAGGTCGCCATCGATTTCGGCATCCACCAAGATTTGGATTCCTAAGGTCAAATGAGAAAATATGGCATAATTTAGAGGTAAAAGATGAAAGCCAAAACAAACACTGGTGTTTCGATGGAAAAAATTTCAGTCTGGGTATAAAGTGTTAGCCAGCCAGTTAGAGCTGAACTCAATTGTGGATTTTATTTTTATTTAGTTCGAACAAATTTTTCTTTAGAACAAGAGAAAGAAGGGAAAAAACTCTTTCATGTTCGTTTAGAGGATTGTATTCAATTGGGATTCTAATAGACTTTTAAAATTCTAAGGTATCGAATTTGAGCTTTTTACCAAAAGACAAAAAATCTTGTAAGAGATCTTCTCAAGCCTATTTAGAGGATTACATAACCCTTCTCAAGCTCTATTCTGTCTAGGGTTCCAAGTTACAAAATTATCTTTTTTAGACTCATTTCTCTAAGGACACAATTAACTTTGCTCACTCTCTTTTCTCACCAGAAGTACACAATTAAATGTCTCTCCCCAGACCATGTGTCCATTAGAGCATCCACAATGCTTTGAGTCTCTTTTTGTATATGTGGCATATAATTGGACTTGAGTCTTAAATGATGTGGACAAACCCAAGTAAAAAACTTCAGTAACTTTGCAATGCAAAAATAAAAATACTAGGTCTAGCATATATGTCAACCAATAAAAATGATCTAATATGTTTTTTTTATTAAAAGAAAAATTAAAGTAGGAATAAATGATTAGTGTTTGGGTTTGTACTTGGGTCCAAAATAGACCCAAGTGTGGACTTAGTCTCTTTTTTTTATTGCCACATAAGCTAGACCATGTCCACTTTTAATTGCATTGGGAAGCATTTTTTTATAGACTAGGTCTATTTCTTACATGGCATGTGATTTTTTGTCAAGAGACCCAAAGCATTGTGGATGCTCTTACATGTGCAATTTGTCTTTCTGTCACAAATGTTAGTATGCCTTTGTTTCTTATTACTCAATTTGTTTTTTCTCTGTGGCTATGGTCCTGGAGTTAATGCTACTCCAAGAAGAATGATTAGAGAGTAATTAATACATATGATCAATTGTATATAATTGAGCTCAGGATTTCTTAACAATAAGACACTCCAAAGTTCATTATGAATTTATAAGTTGGTTAGCAGCAGTAGTATAAATAATTAAACATACTCTTCATTACTAGTCGTCTATATTTTTAACTGGATACACTAGTCTATGACCAATACCCATATATGGCCCTACATACGCACAGATTTATTTTGTATGCAAATATCACATCCTGATATTTATTATTAATACAAGTTATGTGTATTTCAAGCAAAGTTGATCATGTAAGTGTACAAAAGTTTTAGTAAGTCCCAGAAAGCAAATGATGGAAGTCTTTATAAAATCCCTAGTAGAATCCTCTAAAACTCTCACAATATCAACTAAACTCATCAACAAAGTCTATCAAAGTCACCCATTTTAAAAAGTACCAAAAATTCTACAAGAATCCTAATTGAATATAGCCCTCCTAATTAGAGACAAAAACAAAAATAATACACTGTTAATAAGAGCGAGAATGATAATACTTACTGTATGAGGAGAGCAAGCTTCAGTGGCTTCAATAATCCTCCGGTGAGAATATGCATATGTCCCATAACCGAGCGAAAATAACATGATAACTAAACCCGCGACTAAAAAATCCAAGCACTTCTTAAGCAGCTCCACCTGTCTCATGTCCTGTAACTGCGTCTTGAATTTTTCAGCTTTAAAAGTCGCCTTGGATAAACCCATCGAAAATTTCCATCTCTCCAAGATATTTGCACTGGAATTCAGTTCCAGCTGTTTTTCCTTAAGCTGCAATTTTTTCATGATAAGTCCGATCTCGAATGCCTTGAGGTCGTTCGAACGGGTTTGCTCGATGATAGATTTTTCAATCGTGCTTAGCATGGAAAATTGGTCGGTATTAGAATGTGCCAATTGACGCTCGTTGTTTTTATCGTGCAGAACGAGCTCTCGACTCATCGAATTTGTGCTCGTGATTTTCTCCATCTGAGGGGGAGTTTGACTTTGACTTTGACTTAAAGGGTGTAAAGAATCTTGGACTTGGTCAAGGGACGTATGCCGGCCCAGCACTTGTTGGTGTTGTTCGCCAGAAGAGAGAGACTTTAAATTATCTTTGGCTTCGTGGAAGCATATGGGATTTTTGAGTTTATCAAGGGAACATGAACAAGAACACCTTACAAATCGAGCTCTTTGGGCTTGTTCGTGGATGTTTTGAGGTGTATCACTGATTAACCTCAAAGTCATCAGCGTACTTCGAAATGATTTCTCGAAATTCTCTAAGAAATTATCGAATTTTTCGCCGAAAACCTTCAGACAAGCAATTACATAAAATAAATAAGATAGTATTAGCATAAGTGCATATATAAATTTTACGGTCTGAACAAAGCCAGAGTAAGACATACATTTCCCAGGGACTCGCGTACAGCCAATATGCATATCTGCAATTGAGACACCATGAGATTTTTATTATAGTCCCCACACGCAGAATAGATAAACCAGAAATATATCTAGGTTATACACAAAATGAACATAACAATATTTTCATGCTTTATACAATGAATATGAATTTGTATCACAGTTGAAGCACGGTAGAGATTCAATTGGACAAGATCAAATATCTATGCATGAGATAAATAAGAAGATGCATTCAAGGCTAATATATGAACATGATAAAGTAATAAACATTTGGTACGATAAAGAGAAAGAAAGTACCTCAGACAGATAATCCAGGGACAAGTTATCCCCAGCTGCGTTTTTTCGATCCAGAACCTAAAATAAACAAGCAATATATGTCACATTACATGACTAAATTACTTCTTTAAAATGAACAACAAATAATATTGAGTCACAGAATAATATAAGAATAAATTTATCCAAATGCTCTCGAAGCCATACACCACGGTAAATGGGGACAATAAGAACAAATGCAGAAAAATAGATTGCCAAGAACAATATGCATTCTCACCAAAACATGTAAGGATTATCCAAGTACGAATGAAATGAAATAATGAGAATCACAAGATTGCTTAAAGGAATATACTTTTCATGCCCCATCAAGAAAAACAATGTCTTCTCAACTATGGTCAGAACTTCTCAAATCCTGGGATCGAAAATATCAAGTTTGACAAGAAGAGAAACTTGTTAGTGTTTCGATTCGTATTGGGATTGAAATCAACCCACATTCTACAACCATTTTTTCACAGTTAAAGTGCAAAATTATCATTTGCCCATAACAAATATACCTGCTGGTTCACTGTTATAATTCTACATCCATTTTTTCAGTTTTCCAATATAATATTATCACCTCATGTTTATATCTTTAAATTTTTCCAATTTCTATGATGGAAATCCTCTGGTGCTTTATCTATTTCTCTTGTCCTCTTATCAAAGCCCCAATCAAACTACCAGTTCAAGCATGCATTTAGACGAAACACTGGAGAGAATAACTCTAATCCCCACACATTGTGTACTAAAAATCAGGTTTTTTTCCTTAAATTTGGAAAAATATGTAAATAAAACCACAAACCTTCAATCAGCAGACACTTGAAGAATGTGAAGTTTTATGCACAAAGGTCACTGTAAATGCAGATGAAATCTGCAAAAGTTAACCAATGCCCAGTACACATGAAATTAATATGGCTAACAATTGCACAAATTTCCTAAAGACCCAAACTTTCTCCACAAATACAAGAATACGTATCAAAGAAATCACACAAAACAGAAAAAGAAACACTTCAAAAGGCCATAATTACATAATTTCCTAGTGGTTTTACACAAATAAGTCACCTTTCGTTCTTTACCACAGTAATTCCCAAGTAAGGTTTCCTTCTCAGAATAAACCAAGAATGCATATATATATATGAATAACATAGAAAATAAAACTTTTCCACAAAAAATTTCTCATCTTCAACAAGAAATTATAAGAAAAAAAAGGGTTTTTGAATTCAAAATAACCTGCGCAACAACAGCGGCAATTGACATTCCTAGGGGAAGGCCGAGGGCGTCGACGTCACTTGGCCCGACCCTTCTACGTGCCGTCATCAGCGGCCCGACCCGAATTTTTTTAGGGTTTGTTAAAATCCTGATGCCCTTCTGCGAAGACGACATCGCATAGCCACAACAATTCGAAGAAGCCGACGACACAGTGTCTGAATCAAATCTTTGCTTCTTTCTATTCTTTCTTCTCGTAATGGCCGCTTTGGATAGTGGCTCTTCGACGGCACCTGAAATTGACGGGTCTGGAGTGATCTCCTCCGTCGGATTAACAGCGGCGATGCCGTCCGGAGATGTTGAGCGGTGGCTGTGATGGTGTAGAGAGGCATCCATTGGAGTGAATTTGGGGAGGGTATCTGGTTTTCAGGGGTCAACTAATGAATATTTTTATTGGATTCTTTGAAGCCCAACGATCATTTTATTCCAATTTGTGTTTTTCTCAACTCCTTTGTATTGCCTTTCCGTTTTTCACCATTTGTACTTCCAGAATCCGAATTTGTCACCTATATTATTATGCATTTTCAAAAGCTCACTATATAAATCTAATAAATTTATTTACTTTATTATTTGATTGATACCTCTCCCCTCGGAGCAATTGAGGTTACCTGCGGGACTGAATGTCCGAGGAGGGTACAGTGGACAACAACTTTATCTATAAAACTTGCTATTTTTGCTATTTAACTTATATGAGATTAGAATTTGTTAAGATCTTTTAAGATTTATTAAGATTTCAAAGAGAAAACTATAAATAAAATCTCATTTTAAATTCCACCTCCAATCTTACGAGAGGTTGTATTCTTTTGAGATTTCAAGTGACATTTTGAATCTTTTTTAGATTCGAGACTTAAAATTTTTAGATTTATTAAGAAAAATTCTGTGAAATCTTAAATTTGGGGGTGAGATTAGAAGTGAGATTTCATATAAAGTTTTTTTTTGAAATCCTAGCAATCTTAAAAAGTATTAAAAAAATTATAGTCTCAAATATTTCGCTTCGTTTGTCAACTTCGTCGAGTGCTTTCTTATAGGATGATTCTTGTAAATGGGAAAGGAAAGCACCAGTTACTTTTGTCAGGTCTTACAGAGCCTTTGGGACAAGACTACTAAACTATAGAACTCGTACCTATCCCAGATGCCTGTGTTCATCCATTACTTATGCTGCTAGCGATCCTCTGCACTGAAAGCAAGAAAGCGAGGCCCCGTAGGGAGACTAGTTCCCAATCTCAGGAGCAAAGAGGGCACATAACTGGAACTAGTGCACATCTCTATGATCAAATATCTAGTTGGGTAGCACCACCATCAAGAAGGTGCATATGTTTACCGAAGCTGTGGTAATCCGGCCAGATCATGGTGAACAACAAGGTACGCACACAATCACCTCCTCTTCAGAAACAGACTTGTCATCATCCTCCTTCCCCATCAGAGATGCCTTATAGTCCATCGCTTTCCCTTTCTTTTTAGAAAGAGACGGAAACTCCGATAGGCTTCACTCATTAATTCAGAAAACACTTAGAACCTCGGTTTGAACCATATGAGACCTCGATTTATACCGAGCCAGGTGCCTCAATCCTGATAAAAGCATACGAATGCTGGAGCTAAACCAAACCCTTCCCTTGCTACCGATATGGGATATTGTACCAAGAAAGTAAACTGGCCGAGTAGGTCGATCGAATAAATCGAGTAAACCACCTGGTCGAGCGAGAGCCGGACGAGGTGGTCATGGTCGAACGTCATAGAAGCAAGAGCCTCTGGACTGGAAAATAGCTCAAAGGGGATTTCAGTACGAGAAGAGTATGTTGAGCCAAAGCCCTCGGATAGCCTGGTCGAAACTCGACGTACTACAGCAAGTCGACCAAGATCTGGTCGAGCCTTCGGGAAGATATCAAGGGAATCAAACCCCCATGTGATGGGGACACATGGCAAGGCCTGATTGGCCCATATACCATAACTGCCTCTGGTACACCTCCAGTGTGTGTTGTACGACGCGACAGCCCGGGCAGTTTAGGCAGTGGCTCAGCACTTTCGGGCAGCTTCTAGAACAGGTACCTCACCCCTATATATAGTTGTGAGACTTGCGATTTTAAGGATTATGTTCAGTATACTTTTTGAGAGTTCATCTTCTACACACTCATTTAAATTGGTGTGAGAGTTTTTGCAGGTACGAGGCGTTTAACCGGCGAGGAGGAGCTCGAGCATGCCGATTTCCAGCCGGTCGGAGGTTCTACGTTACAAATATGACATGATTTTGCAAGATCTCAAATGAACACCTCAAGACTTTTAAAAGACTTAAAAAGACCAAATTAAGTACACTAGGATTTCTGAAATTTTAAAAAGTCTTTAGAAATTCTAAATAAATACTTCCGACTAATATTTCACGTGATTCTTCATAAATCTGAAAATCTTAAAAAGTCTTAATTTTCAAAAAAAAAATCAAAATGTCACTTGAAATTCGAAACAAATACAATCCTTAATCTCAAGCTCGACAAGGCAAAATATAAGCTCAAACTCGACTCGAGTTCGTGCTCGAGCCGCTCGATCTCGACTCGAGTTCGGTCAAACTCAAGCTCGAGTCGAACTTTGACTCTAGCGCTTGCGAGCCGCTCGATTCGTTTGCAGCTCTACTCAGAAGGACTCCTTCCCTTTATCTAAAGATTTTCAGCTGGTTGTGCTACTTTAACATACCTTATGTTATTTCAAGGTTTATCATATGTGAACTGATGCTAGGTTACAGCTATTAAATAGTTCCTAACTACTTCGTGTTATCTCATGGTTCATCGTTTGTTTTCATATGTAATTCTCGTAAATGTATATTTCACTTTTCAGTAGCAAATTGAGCCTCTTTGTTCAATTTCAGCTATTTCATAGGGTTTTTTTTTATCCCACATCTTAGTTATGTTGTTTTATATTTGTCATTGTTATGATTTTTCTTATTTAACATTCTGTAATGTTGTTCATTTTGTAAATTTATACANACATAAACCCAAGTGATTTAGAGGGTATCATTATGTGAATATGCCATTTGCTCATCAGAATACATGGACAAAAAGATTGAGACAGGACCTAGACTAGAAAGGAAACATCAAGGTGCAAAACCACAACAACAAAGGCAAGAGGACAACAAAGTAGTTATATAGCAGTACCAAAAGCAACATGGAAAAGCATAACATCAGGGACAGGGCTTCTCAATAATGACGAACGTTCGGATCCCATTGGCATTAGTGGATTTACACTTGACGACTAATAATGCTAGCTTCCTGCGATATATACATTACAGGGTCACTATTTACCGGAAATTTAAAGACCTAACCTCACCTTCTGTAATCATCCTCATCTGAACGAACAAAGTGGAGGTACTTTCACTTTTCACCTAAGCATCACTCGACTTTAATTATTAGTATATGTTCCTGCAGATATGAAAACGATACTTCTTCTCATTCAAACAAGAGATGTGAAAAGTCAAACATAGTTCAAACTTCAAATGTATAAGGAGAAACTAGTTTGTGTTAAGTCAAATAGTTTTGCTTCTTGCTATTCTTAGTTTACCCTCTCTCTCTCTCTCTCTCTCTCTCATATATATATTGAAAATCTAAATTCTTTATTCTTTTTACAATATGGATATCACAAAGCTCCCTCAAATTTACCTTAAATTAGAAAGGATCTAACTACCTTAAAAAATTACCAAAATCCACCAAGTGTCCTAAACATACTCCTTAATATTTGTGTCTGCTCTACAGATTACACCATAAATAGAAATATGGGCTGAATTTCAGTTGTAAAATGAGAAAATCTCAAGGGGCAACTGTTAGTTTCGAAGCAGCCTTTTTTTTTTTTTCTTTCGTTTTTCTCAATTTGGGTCAACCGTGAGCTACTATTTGCAATATTGCTATTTTAATAGATCATTTTCTTCTATTTGTGTTTGAGAGAGCAAGAGAAAGAGAGAGAGAGATAGTACATTAGTCTTGTTTTTCAGGCCGATGTCTACTGGAAGGCTCAGAGCTGGAATCCAAGCCAAAACACTTGAAAAGAGCTTGTTTAGCTAGGCCAAAATAGTTGCAAGGGTGATTTGAAGAGCGGAAAATTCTAACGAACCCAGAATCCTTCAAAGAGGATTCCTCTTCACTTTGATTTTCTTCCCCTATCAAACCTTCGCTAGTTTCTTCGCCCCTTGGGACCCTCTGATCTCCCACCTGAAAGGGTGACAAAGCAATATTGACTCTAACTCGAGAAACTGCTATAACCACCTAGAATAAATTTAAATAGCAAATAAGTGGCACCTATAATTTCATTTTTTCGAGGTAGAAATCGAAATTTTGATGCTCATACATAGTGCTCACATTCACCACATGAATCTTGTTGAGTCAATAATATGGCCGGAAAAAAAAAATAAATAAATAAATAAAAACGACCTAATACCTTCAGTTCCTGTTTAAAGATGGATGGCCATAGGTTAAATAATTAAGGGAAATTCAAAACACATAAACTTCAAAATCAACTAATAAAATAACTTAGGATAAGACCTAAATCAGATGTAACGAATCTTCATCACCTAAAACTTTTAAGTGATAAAAAAACTGTAATAAAAAGAGAGTGTTGAGGTCATCCTTTCTCAATGATCTCATATTCACCAGTAACAAATTTTATATGCTTCAAGATTCAAGTGGGCTCTAATCCAGCTTCAACAAGTCCAACAACTCTGGAACCCATGCATTCTGAACATTTAATTCCAATATATCTAGTTTCAACAAGTTGAAGAACTCCAGAACTCATACATCTTGAGCATTTAATTCCGATATACTATCGTGGGTTAACATCAACATGACATGCATTCACTAATTTGTAAGGCTAAAATATTCTACAGTCAAGGCGTAGAAGGTAAAAACTGCACTTCGGGCTGTAAAATATTCTACAGTCAAGGCATAGAAGGTAAAAATCGCGGATAAGGTTGCCTAACATTGACATTGAACTACCTATTACCTCAACTAGGTAACACAAGTTTACGCAGTAGGATGAAATGAAATAGAAAGCTAATCTTATCACCATTATGAAAATCCAATAAATGCGAACTCTGAATATATGAACAAGAAAAGTACAAATTAACAAAGATATATCTAACAAAATTTATATCAAATTGAAGATTATGACGAGTATATTAGTCCAAACCGGCCAAAGAGGACCCCCAAGATAAGCAAAATGGCTTTGGAAAAAATCCTCCGAATTCGCTTGATGAATGTAGCAAACTAAAAAAATATGTGCAGAGCTTAATTTTATTAAATTTCAAGGAGATGAAAAAATAGACCATTTTTCTGTTTCACATTCTCCTGAAATTCAGGAGAAATTGGGTGTTGAAATCTTTCTATATGTTTGTGTACAAACTTCTGTATGCTCCTCATAAGAATTCGCTGAACTCATGGTTGACCTAATTATGCACATAGTGAGACTGTGTGCTATTTCTTTCAACCGAAGAAAGGGGGAAAGGAAAGCAAGAGAGAGAGAGAGAGTTCAATAAATCTACCTTGATTCTTCTGTGGGGTTTGTTAGGACGGACGGGTGGCGCGGCGGCGGCAGCAGTTGACGAGGAAGCGGCGGAGGAGGAGCTGGATGCAAGGTCTGACGTAAAGATGCCGAACCCAAGAAAGAGAAGAAAAAGGAGAAGAATGGTGACAATAAGCTGGATCCATATGAGCCATGGAACTTTGAAGCTTTCTATGATGAATTCATCCCCAAACTCCGGCATTGCTTTCCTGCACCGCCTATGTTTTATGTAATTTCTCCCAACTTAACAGGAGAGAGAGAGAGAGAGTTATGAACAAGTTGAAAAAGAAGAAAGATGGCTAAGAAAATGTTTTCAACTACATAATAAATCGTTATTATTATTTTTTAATTAGCATATACACTGATGCTTGTGTCAAGTAAACACTCGAGTTTTTGTTGAGATCTACCAACAATTAAAACAGTAGATGGTTTTCAATTAAAATAAATGAATAAATAAAAATTACAATATATATGATGTTGTGAAAATTACATTATTATGTAATTTCTGTCGAAATTCCACCACCCAAAAAATATCTTATCATCCCTCTAAAAGCTTTCAACAGAAGAAGTGAAAAAGAAAAAAAAATAAATAAAAAATATCTGACCGGCCCCCCTTATTCTCAGACCTTGTTGGTTCGCGGCTTGCCGGCTCGCTAGCCACGGGCTGGGCTGTTGGCAGCCGATTGTCCTTTAGCTTAGCCGATGGGTGCGAAATGCGAATGGGTCGAAGATGACGGCTACTCCGGCGTGACTTGTTGAGTTCGCTCTCCCGGCGTCCGTTTCTCTCCCGATTGAAAGCTAAGGGGACTCACATCTAGGTTGAGACTCGTCTTTTTGTCGGATCTGAATAGGCGTTTGAGTAAGTTCACAGTTTTTGGTTTTGGGGCCTCTGATTTGCTGCTCTCATTTGGTTTATCGATTGTGGGGTTGGATTGTTGTGGGGTTTGATCCTGTGTGCTGGTTAGGGTGACCGTAGCGGCGTGCATGTGAGTTGTAAGGGAAGTGGTATTCTACTGGTAGTGTAGGTTGTGTTGTAGACTTTTTTTTATGTGTTTTTTTAAGCGTTTAGTTTTCAGTTTAGTTGCGTCTGATTATTAGTCTCCTTTTAAGGAGTTTATTTGTTTTGTTCTCCGGGTGTTTGTACACATTTGGTTGCCTGTGTAATTCCAGTGGGGGGCTGGTCCAGACTTTGTTCTTGTTCTTGTGGCGTCATTTGATATCTCGGATTTACTCTTTTGAGTTATTAATATAATTATCATTTGGCGAAAAAAAAAAAAAACTAGAGGCGCACAAAGTATGGTTAACCTATTCAAACCGACTAAGACCGAAAATTCTACATTATTACATTAAAAGGAGGTCACCGGGTTCTTTATATACTATTACATTATTCAATTCATAACGATTCGTAGTCAAATTCTGAACTGAGTGTCCCTCGCGTCATATTTTGCATGTCACCGGTGGCTTGAGTTGGAGGACGTTGACAAACGATAAGAATAGTGATAACCCGCGTAGACGACCGTCGGTTAAACACGAAATTTATGCTTGAACGCGAGTGTTTTTGAGATTTCTTATTGCTTAAGTTCTTCCAAAAGAAAGATACAAGAGTTTTAAAGAAAGTTCTTATTGCTTAAGTTCTTCCAAAAGAAAGATACAAGCGTTTTAAAGAAAGAAAATACTAAAATTGCAACAAAGGTCCTAGGGAACATAAATTAATCAAAGCAAGCTAGTAAATAAGAAATTTGCACGCAGGTCCCCGGTTGGCGCCCGGGTCGCATCAGACGTTCGTGTCGTCATTGGTTCATTAATTGGTTCGAGGATTTCGCACATCAATACATGTCCCTTTTAATCATTTGTTACACTTTACAAGCTCTACAGTTCTTGATCATCTGTTGGTTATAGGGGTGTTCACGGTCCGGATTGGTCCGGTTTTAGCCCAAACCATGACCAAACCGGACCTAACGGTTCATTTTTTTTTGTCCATAACCGAACCGGTTTTATTTTTTAACTGACCACAATCCGGACTGCATTGGACGGTCCGGTTTGGCGGTTAACCGGTTAAATCCAAAATCCTTGTTTTGGGCCTTTAATTTTTATTTTTTTCATTTTGGGCTTAGTTTTTATTTTTTAATTTTGGGTCCAAAAGAGATTATTTGAGCCTAAAAATTAAGAAAAATAACAATAATGAAATAAAAAAATACACAATTCGTCCCATAAGCATAAAAATACACATTTCATCCCAAAAACATAAAAATACAAAAATGATGAAGATTAAATTATGCAAACTGAACCCAAGCAAGCATTTATTTTTCAGTCAGTTTATACACCTGAAATAATAAGAGCAAAACATTCATATTTAATGTATTTGTCGGCCATAGTGAATGAATTAATGTATATATATATTTGTTATAGTTTTTTAATATTTACCGGTCCGGTCCGGTTAAACCGGCGGTTTGCCGAATGTAATCCGTTAACCGGACCGGTTATTCCGAATTTTTAGAAAAATTAACCACCGGATTTTATAAAGCTTTTTTAATTGACCATTTAACCGATCCGCGATCCGGATTGACGGTTTTTTTACGGTTAAAACCGGACCGTGAACACCCCTAGTTGGTTACACTTTGGCGTTGTGAACTAACCCTGATTGTCAAGCGTGTCTTTGGGTCCTCTCGTGCAACACGTGTAATATGCCAATTATCTTGAGCACATTTGAAGATATCTTAATTAATATGCTCAATTTAAAATTTTATTTACTAATGTGACACTAAATAACTAAAGAATAGCCTCGTATAAAACTTGTTTAAAACACAATGATGGCAAAATCAACTTGACTAGAGGCCAAAGGTTCTTGTTTGCCTCTTATGTATTTACAAATTACACACTTGTTATATGAAAGTTGAATATAAGCTTGTGGACTAACAATTATACTTTTCTTTAAATTGTTGGTTGTCAATAGTTCCTTCCACCTTATATTAGTTGCAGAGATGAGTGGAAAATAACTATCCTGATGTTTAGTCGAATGAAGTACTAGGACACACGCCTAGCGTCTCATCCAAATAAATTGCAAAAAATTATTTGCGTTAATTCCTCAAAATTGAGGCAGTTCAGTGAAGCCTTTATGTTGAGGCAATTCACTGAAGCCTTTTGTACATGCCGCTCAGAGTACAACTTGCATCTCGTTTTTCATTTAATTTATAGAAAGAGACTTCAGGAGTGGAATCAGCAAATATTATTTTATTCTTCTTTCCAGTGGCTGATCAGAAAACCGGACCTGCAGCAAGGATTTCATCAGTCAACTTGTCGTCCTTTCCAATCTTGTGAGCCACAAAGCCTCCAAAGTTGTTCTTGAACAGCCCAGCCAAGTTCAGCAGCGTCTCCTTGTAAGCATTCTTATCCGACCACTGCATATTTTACCGAAACCACACCAAGATCACAAACAGGAACGAAAAAGTGGAAAAACAAAAAATGTTAAAACCCATAAAGAAATTGTACGTATAAATCAGGAGTTCGAACTCACGGTGTTTGTAGGTTCCAATATTTCAGAAGGCACACCCTCGACCTCAGTCGGGATTTCGAGCCCAAAAACCTCAGTTTTCTTATAGTCCGCGTCTAATAGGCTGCCCGAGTGAATAGCATCAATTATTTTCCTAGTGTATGCCAGCTTGATACGGCTCCCGGACCCATAACTGCCGAAAAACAATAATAGATACAATTTAAATAATTATTTTGAAGAAAAATTAAATAAATTGTTACTAAATACTTAAAAATCAGAAAAAAAATAAATACCTTCCACCAGACCAGCCAGTGTTGACTAGCCACCCAGTGGCACCGTGCTTTTGCATCTTAGCAGCCAACATTGCTGCATATTTTGTGGGATGCAACATTATAAAGGCTGCCCCAAAGCAAGCCGAGAATGTCGCTTGTGGCTCCTTGATTCCATCCTCCGTGCCAGCAACCTGTACGAATCATTTCAATTTAATAATAAAAAAAAAAAAAAAAAAANAAAAAAAAAAAAAAAAAATCGATGCAATTTCACATTTTCCACTCAATTATCGTCTAAATCTTTAAATAGACAAAATTCCTACCAGAGCAGTGTAGCCACTGATGAAGTGGTACATGGTCTGTGCAAGACTCAGCTTGCTCACAGGTGGAAGCACGCCAAAAGCATCACAAGCCAGTAGAATCACATTCTTCGGGTGTGAGGCCACACACGGGATCTTAGCATTGGGGATGTATTCAATCGGATAAGCCGCTCGAGTGTTCTCTGGATGGAAAAAAAGACGGTGCACAACAAAAAAGTTACTCCAAAAGGTTAAAGTGTGTGAGTGAACTTATCGAATAAACGGACAAAATTAATTACCTGTGACGGATTTGTCCGAGTAATCCACTTCTCTTGTGTGCTCATCAAACACCACATTCTCCAACACTACCAGTAACAAAAGATAAAAAATAATAAAAAAAAAAAATAAGTAGAATTATTAAAATCACAATTGCAGCATGGGGAGAAAAAATTACCGGTCCCGAACTTGATCGCGTTCCAAATATCAGGCTCCTTCTCCCTCGACAAATCAATGCACTTGGCATAGCATCCGCCCTCAATGTTCGAAACACCATTTTCGCTCCAGCAGTGCTCGTCATCTCCAATCAGGAACCGATTGTGATCGGTAGACAACGTGGTCTTCCCAGTGCCTAACGAAATAACAAGTCCAGCTCATTCATTATCCAAACCAACAAACAATAACAATAATAATAATAATAATAATAATAATAATAATAAAAAAAAAAAAAGAGGCTGATAGTGACCAGATAATCCAAAGAAAAGAGCAACATCCCCGTCTTTCCCCATGTTGCAGCCTGAGTGGAGGGAGAGGATTTGGCGCTTGGGCATGAGGTAATGCATGACGCTAAAAAGGCCCTTCTTCATCTCACCAGCATACTGAGTGCCAAGGATGACCATTTCACGCCTCCCCAGGTTTAGGTCTACGCTGGTGGATGATGTCATGTAGTGGGTGTATCGATTACATGGGAACTGCCCAGCATTGTAGATCGTGAAGTCGGGGGTCCCGAAGTTCTCAAGCTCCTCGGGAGTTGGCCGGATACACCTGTCGTTCGTTATTACCATTTTTCTTTCATTTCGACTAAAGAAAAACTTGTTAATACCCAACTGGAAAGAATCGCTTACATGTTATGCATGAACAGAGAATGGTAGGCCCTGGCCGAGACGATCCTGACTTTGATGCGATGCTGTGGGTCCCAGTTCAGGAATTGATCGTTAACAAAGACCTGAAACAAACAAGCATCTGGGGTTTAATCGTTGGTTTAACATTGTTTATGGCAAATTTTGGACAATGGAATTAACTAAATTCCAAATTCAGAATTAACATAACAGAAATTGATATTTCGGATTAAAAATAGTTGGTGAGATCATAACGAATTCACATAACACGAAATAATGAAGGAACACAAATCGTCAAAATAGTGAACCGTGTAAAAAAATTAATCTTTAGAAATGAACCGGTGTGCTGCTAACATGCTACAGTTAACTTTGTGCACCGTCATGACATCGATATAATACCTTGTCCAAGGAGTTCAAGTAATCCACCGCTCTTTCTCTGTTAACCATGAAAGTGTGCTCATCCATCTCAATATTTGGAGAACCCCTACAAGCATAAGTTTAATTTTCATATACACCGAAATTAAAGGTTAAAAGTAAAAAAAAAAAAAAGGTGCATTATTGAGAGAGTCTGCACATACTTTCCCCACCAAAGATCATCTTCAGTCGTTTCATCTCTCACGACACGTTTGTCCTTTGGGGAACGGCCAGTCTTGGCACCTGAAAGTGTCGCTATGGCACCGCTAGAAGTAATAAAGGATCCTTTCTCGTACTTAATGGCCTGCTCGTAAAGCTCTGTATACACAGACAGAAATTAACACCACCAATCGAAACTAAAATTGCAGAAATTAGGGTTTTAATGGGGGAAGCGTTACCGGCAGGCGAGAGGTTGTAGAGGACATGAGTAAATTTGAGGGAACTGTCACTAACGCCAATTGTGGGGCTGACGTGCTGCTGTTGGCTATGGCTCACGACACACGGCTTTTCCGCAGGGTCTCCTCTCACCACTTTGGGTCCGCTCTCTCTCGTGAGAGAAGCCAATGAGGCGCTAATTTCAACAACATTATTATAGAGTTTGATTTTGCTTTACCATTAGAATGATAGCTCATAGAATTAAAGCAAGCACCTGATAGACTGGAGCTGCTCCTGGGAAGAAAGGGGTTTGATGGGCGTAGTAGGAGCTGATTTCTTCTTCTGGAGGGAATGGAGCTCGTCAATCGTCTGAGCCCTAACAGGTGGGGTGCTGTCGTCGATGCATATCTCGTTGTCCTTCTTCTCCGTCTGAATCTTAGGCAGCCCGTGCCTCCCCGTCCCAACCACCCGCCCATTGCCGTTCGCTGCCATTGAATGTAGTCAGTGAAGGTGATGAGAAAATTAAAGGGATCAATGGCTACTGCTACTGCTGGGGGAGGCTTATATTTATATTATAGGGCATCCACTCCACTCCAGTGGGGGTCTTGTTCATTTTACCCTAAACACTGATTGGATTAAATCTTATCGTGTCAAAGAACATATCCGAAATTCCGTAAAATTTGCATCGCGGCTGTTTTTTTGCAGTGCGAATCGATGCACGGTCATCGTTCAAACATCTTGTTTACTTTGCCGAAAAATCGGGTAACTAAATTTGCGGAAAGTTCAAAATTAGGTTTAATGGTTACCGGCAGGCGAGAGGTTGTAGAGGTCATGAGTGAATTTGAGGGAGCTGTCGCTGATGCCAATGGTGGGGCTGACGAGCTCGTGGGTTCGGCTCACGATCCGCGGCCTTTCCGACGGCTCTCCCCTCACCACTTTGAGTCCGCTCTCTCCCGTCACCGATGCCAATCCGATGACGTGCTAATTCAACAACATTATTAGTTTTGACTTTTGAGTAAGAGTGATTGGATATAAACTAGATTAGTTAAAAATTAATTAAAATTTTAACTTAATTTCACTATTCTCAATACAATATTACTAGTACAGAGCCCGTGCGATGTACGGGATGCACAATACGCAAGAAAGTGTACAATGTTCAATAAAAGTTTTATAATATTCAAGTGGAGTCTTAAAGTCTCTTGTACATTAAGACTACTGACAAAATAATATTTTAATCAATGAGTTTCCTTTCCTTGTAGCCAAATTGTGAATGTGATTTGAGGAGTACAACAAATCGATATATAGCTGACTTGTTTTTTTCATTGTAGTTTTTTTTTTTTATAATGAATTTAAAGATATTCTAAAATATAACAAAAATTAATTTTTTTATTACAATTAGGAATTTTACTAAATAAAAACTCTCAATCTATGGTGCTAATCAACGTTTAAGTCTAAAAAATTAGGAATTTTTACCTCTTTTAATCAACGTTTAAGTCTAAAAAACAATAGAGTTATTATAAGTTTTTTTCTACATCTCTTAAAACATTAAATATGAGCATGTTAGTATTCAAAGGAAAAGAACGCGTGTGTGCACAATTTTTTCTCTCTCTACAAAACCTCCTCTCTCCCCTAAAAACAAAAACCAGATCTGTCAAATCTTGCTGCCTCCTCTCGGTCGAATTAGCGCAGCTCCACCACCGTGGGTACCTGCTCCGGCGCGGTTCGCGGCTCTCGCCCCTGTGTGGTCGTCTCTCTCGGCGCAGATGTCGCCCTTTCCGGGTTGCTGCGGCGGTTATTGAGGAGACCCCCCCGGTGGAGAGGGCGGGATTGCGGGCATCGCTTGTCTCATCGCGACAGACTGTAGTTTGGCCGGCGCTGGCGCTTCCCTCTGTTGTCTTCTCCGATTCCTGGGTTGGAATGGTGAAAGCTCTCCGCTGGATTGTGGGAGGGAGATGGTTTTGGTATGGGCTTCCGGGGTGGTTCTGAGATTGGTCGGTCTGTTACGAGGTAGATCTATGGTACCCTTCATCCTATCGGTGACGGAAGTGTTGAGATCTGCCTCTTGGGCGCATTTTGGGCGTTGGCCAGGCTTGGAGGGGTCGTTTTTCGGCCTTCGTCTCGCGGGGTGAAGTTCCGTTGCTAATTTGTGACCGTAGGGGAGGGCTCTAGTTTATATTTTTTCGTTTTTAGTTTTGGGTATATTTCAGTTAGTTTCTTCTAGTGTTTCTAGTTTGTATTTACCTAGGCCGGTCTTTTGGCACTGATGGAGTTGAATGATTAACCTGGGTGGACTCGATCGCTTATTGATTGCCATTCGGGGTGGCGGTCAAACAATTTCATTAGTGTTGCCGGAATGGGATTGTCGTGTTGTGTTGTTTTGTTGTTTAGCTTGTAGTAGTTTCTCCCGTAGGGGAGTGTGTTTCTCCCGTTTGGGAGCTTTTTCTCCCGTAGGGGAGTTCTTTCTCCAGTTGTGGAGTTTGTGTTGTTTTGTTAGTGGGTGCGTTCTAGGCGATCCATTGGATCTGTCCTCCCACTAGATTCAGCTTTTGAGCTGTCTTTTCGGCTTTTGAGCTGTTCTAGACGTATCTATGTGTTTTATGATATAAAATTTCTATCGTTTTGACAAAAAAAAAGAAAGTATTCTCGGNTTTTTTATGATTTGATAATATAAACAAATCTATACTTAACTTTGACAAATAAAACAAATAAATATTTTGGTAAGTATTTAATGTATATACTAAATAGGAATATATTTGGTATAATCAAATACCAAATATAATCAAATAAGTCAAAGTGTACATTTTTATTTGGTATTTGATTTTTTTATTATTAAATTTATTTTATTATACTTACCTTTTTAAAATAAAACAAATAAATAAATTAATTAAATAAATAAAATATTATAATACCAAAATAGTAATGACATTTAATGCAGTTGACTTTTCTGGATAATAAATGTAGTAAATAGAATATCCTTTTATATAGCATAATACGGAAATAGTAATGCAATAAATGCTGTTGACTTTTCTGGATAATAAATGTAGTAAATAGAATATCCTTTTATATAATATAATACGAAAATAGTAATGCAATAAATGCTGTTGACTTTTCTGGCTACTTAATTTGGTAAATAGTACCCCCTTTAATATAAGTATAGATTAATATAATTAAATAATATCAACCAATCATTCTTACACATCACATCAATTTTAATTCACTATTCATTCACTCACATAATTTTAACTAATCATCACTTCCAATTATTTTTTTCTTACTTTTACATCATATCAACTTTAGTTATTTTATTTTAAATATTATTTAAATATATCCACTAACAACTAAACATACTAATTTTTTTCAAAATTAGCTATAATAAAAAAAAACCAATTAATTGCTAGATGAATTCATAAACAATCACCCCCTAATTATTCTTACACATCACCTCAATTTTAATTTACTATTCATGCACTCACATAATTTTAATTAACCATCACTTTCAATTATTATTTTCGTATTTTACATCAAATCAACTTTAATTATTTTATTTTAAATATTATTTTACTATTTTAACTAACAACTAATTATACCACCCTTTTCAAAATTAACTATGGTTAACAAAAAAAAAAATCAATCAAATCCATATTCAATCACACACTAAGTGGCGGTCATAATCTATTAATTTTTTTTAACTCAGAATATAACTCAAATTTAACTCAATCTCATTATCCTCAATATTATCAATATAATTAAATAATATCAATCATATCTCTCCCACATACTTTAAACTATTCATCCACTCAGATAATTTCAACTATCTATCACTTTAACCATCTTTTTTCTACTTTTACATTACATCAACTTTAATCATTACATTTTAAATATTATTTAATTAATCGTTATTTTTTAATTATTATTTAATTATAATCTCTCTCATTCTACTCATTTAACTTTATTCAAAATAACTCACTTTATATCATGATCCAATCAAAATCGATTTTTACTAGTTACGACTGTTTACCAATCACCCTTAATATTTCGCTTTTCTATCATGTGCTTCACAAATTATTCAAGTTCAAGGTTAAAATACGTGTGTGTATATATATATATATATATATATATATAATAAAATGGTTTATTTATACGATTTTGCTAATGAGCCAATAGTTGGCTCCTTTATGAAGCCAACTACCTACGTGGCATTTATATCACAATTAAAATAAATCTTATTAATCTATTATTTTCTCTTATTTTTTTAACTCTTTAGGGCCTGTTTGGATACAAATATATCCGCTCAAAATGAGTTCTTTTGTTAATCAATGTTAATTTTTAAAGATGGTGTATGATTAGTTGTTAATGAAATTTTTAGTTTATATTAAAATAGTATTTAAAATAAAATAGTTAAATTTGATTTGATGTAAACGTATGAGAGATATGATGTGAAATAATGGTTAATTAAAATTATTTGAGTTAATGAATTGTAAATAAAAGTTGTTATGATGTGTAAGACTGATTGATTAATATAATTTAGTTATATAGATAATATTGAGGATAGTGGAGTTGAGTTGAATTAGATTTTGAGTATTGATTTTGTTTATTTAAAAACAAACACATACTTAGGGTGTAATGGGATATGAATTTGACTGGTTTTTGATTTGTTTTTTTTGTTAATCATAATTAATTTTAAAAAAGATGGTATGGTTAGTTGTTAGCGGAATTTAAGTTTAAATAAAAATATTATTTAAAATAAAATAATTTAAGTTGATTTGATGTAAAGTATGAGAAATATAATCAGAAGTGATAGTTAGTTAAAATTACGTGAGTGGATAAATAATGAATTAAAATTGATGTCATGAAAATGACTGCTTGATATTAAATAGTGAATTAAAATTGATGTCATGAAAATGACTGCTTGATATTATTTAATTATATTAATAATATTGATGATAGTCGAGTTGAGTTAAATTTAAGTTTTGATTGATTTTTTACTAGTCATGTTATATCCAATCACACCCTTAATATTCACGAGATTACACAGAATTGATTTTTCCTTTTCTTTTCCCTCGCGAACAAACACATCTTACTAGAGCTGTTATCTTTTTCAATTTATTCTGTACTTTGTTGTGCTCAGAAGTTTTTGGTCCTTCCAAGCTCGGGGACAAGAATAAATAAGTAATCGAAATTCCAATTTCAGGATAAGCAATAACACAGGATAAGCCATACCATGGGCGTTCGTTGATGAATTCCACCGGCGGCATAGTTTAAGTTTTTCGATTAATGTGATTTTTAACGGATGATTGTGTAAGAACTCCATGTAAGTTTCGTAGATGTTCATAATCTCACCACCTAATCTATTCATTATTTTTCCTATCAAGATTTTGTAACTCAGAGTGGTTCATTTATGAACTCAAATTCTATTCATTTTACGCATTTACGATTTACATTTTTGGTTCTTTTGAATCCTTCAAATAATCTCTTACTTTTCAATTCTTTTTACGTAGGGACGGGGACCAAACAAGTTGACCAAGCATTCATTCCTCAATTTAATTCGACTGTCGTGCCTAAAGTCGATCTGGAATCTCAATCAGATTAAAAGGCTTGTACTTTTTTATAATACATATTGTAAAGATGCTGGGTTTAGCATTAAAATTCGAAACAACAAAAAGAATGAAATAGATGACATGTTTGTTTGGAGGGATTTCACTTGCTTTAAGGAAGAGAAGACAAATGAATTATATCAAAAGAAAAAAAACTTGCATTAGTAGAAACTAGTGAACAAACAAGAGGGGAGACCAGATGTAATTTTCCGACTCGAATGAGTTTTTGGAAAAAAAAAAATGACATTGGTGCATAATCATCCTCTTGCAACTCCTAAAAACTTATTTACTTAGATCTCAGCGAATAATGTCGGCTACAAAACGTTCATTGCTCACGAGTGATATGAGATACCATACCGGATTAACTTGACCTGAGAAACCAGCAAAAAAAACTGGTAGGTCGATCGGAGATCGAAGGAGCTAAAGGTCAAAGAGTCTTTATGTCAACAAGGGCGCCGTAGGTAAAAGTGATTGTCGACAAGTCGAGATTAGGCCATCATATGGCTTGGTAGAAACTCGACTTGAAGGCAAGCAGGTTGATAGATCGACCAGAGAACCAGAGTGTACGAGATTAGCATGGAAAATAATTTACCTCGAAAGAAGTGAGATTCGTCGCACAATTAGATCATCTCGTAAGACAGACTAATGGATGAGAAAAAATATAATTAAGATAAGAACTACATGTGGCCTAACAGAATTGGGTAGTTCGAGCACTAGGGGAGTACGGGGCAGTGCAGGCAATCGGGCAGCCCATCCAGACGGTCTTGGGAAACAGAGTAACACCCCTATATAAAGGGGTGAGGTATGTCCATTTAGACTCTACACACTCTAAATACTCAAAAGCTCATACAATATTGTTCATCGTCTTCATCATTGGGACTGACTTAATCGTTGGAGTGTTAACACTAAGAGAACATCCCATCCTATTTTGTAGGTTTAGGTCTTTAAACCGGTCAAGAAGTATATCCACGTTGTTTGATCCCGATCAAAGCCCTTTTACACACCAGCGCATGTCCATACGGAGCAGACCCACCACCGGGTTTTTCACAGTTGATGCAGACGCACGTGACTCTGATGGCTAACCCCTCATTCCTAGAGACCTCATCGGCGTCCCTTGTAGCAGTCGATGCCTCGACTACCCAGCTGGCGGGTAGATCAAGCATGGAGGTCATTGTTCAACCCCCGGTGCAACCAGATCCAACTCAGGTCGTGCAAATGGGACCACTGAGGAGTGAAGCTGAGTGAACATGCCAACATCTCATTACACTGATGAATGAGGAGCTCAGCAAGATGATAGCTAACGTCGTGGCCGCTGGGTGTGCTCAACAACAAGTGTCAAATGTAGTAACTCTCAGTGCGACGACACAAAAGGAGACGGAGGTCGAGGTCTCCAGAAGCACGAGCACAAGAGGTCATTGCAATCTAGCGGTGGAAAAAATGACAGAGTAGATCAGGCAATTGCAGGCTAAGGTCGAGGGAAAGCAAGCTGGAAGAGCTCGAGAGAACCCCTTTGCTCAAGAGATCCTATATACGGATTTGTCGAGTGGATTCATGGAATTGAGCATCACGTATGATGGGAGGTGCATCGAACTCGACCTCTACCTCGCGTTCCCTTGGTCGTTTTCCCTCATCATTTGTTCTTTGGCCTCGTCTCTCCCTATCTTTGTACACGAATTCCTTCAAGTGACCAACTCTAATTAACCGTTCAATCTAATCCTTCAGGTATCTGCAGTTGTCCGTTGTGTGGCTATAGTCTCGATGAAAATGACAATACATGTCGAATTTAGGTTAGATAAACCTATAAAACTAAAAATTCTATTTTAAACTAAAAGCTTGTTAACACAATTTCACATTGTGTGATATGTTTTGATAATTTGTCACCTCCTTTAACTTATATATTCAGATTAGTAACTTTGAGACCTGAAATCTATTGTTTATGTGAATACTTAAGCAAATTAATACTTTTACCATCTTTAATTTGATAAATCATATTGAATAAATAAAATATAAAATTATATGAATCACATTATTCTCTACAAAAACGGGGTTGCATATATTTATTCTATCCATTTTAACTCATAGTCAACGTGACCGTTCTTTTATTTTCATAAAATGCGAATGTCAGAAATAGGCGTTAATCAAAACAAATGGTCATATTTGCATAATCCGATGTGCATTCAAATAATTTCTGGTTTTAAAATTCGATGCATTCACAACTAAAGTTGTAAACGAATCGAATCATAGCGAATACTCAAATATTCGATTCGGATTCGTTAAAATATTCGAAGATTTGAATTCGTATTCGATTCGTTTAGAATATTCGAACATATTCGATTCGATTCCAAATTCGTTTTCAAAAAAATATTATAATTAAAAAATATTGTAATTACAAAAAATAATTTTATTTTTCATATATTTTTAGGAGAATTTGTTAATTTAGGATGTTTTTACTTTTTATATCATAAAAATATAAGGAATATAACAATACATATATATTATAAATAAAATGTATACTATATATAATTTATAAAATTTATATAGTTATTGTTAACGAATCGAATATCTACATATTCGAATTTGGATTCGTTTAACTTTCGAATATAAAACATTATTCGTATTCGAATATTTCGAATTCGAATCACGAATATCGTATCGAATAAAAAAAAATTGATTTGTTTACAAGCCTATTCACAACATCCTAATTTTCCTCATAGTTCCAAAGCACATATCAGGATATGAAATTACAATTGTATTAAGAATAAAAATCCACCCGCACCCCATTTTTTTTCACCAGTCATTACGGAGCTGGAGGAAAGTGATTGCCCAAATAGAAGCCATCTGCCGTGACTAACCAAACACACCTGTTATCAATTTCAGGGTCCCGAGTTTCACAAGAACCACCAAGCCCCTTACTGAAAACATCATGACTTATTTGTCTGATTACTGTTATGTACCGACAGTAAAACAACGTGATTCTAAACAGGTTCACGCGGAATTTGAAATTAAAATTAATACTCTCCGGGTAAGAGAGCTTGAGCCCCAAAATAGGTATCTTTTGAAGCACACTCCACATAAAGTGTCGAGTTCTCGACTGGGAGAGACTTAACTATGAACACGGTAAATATTTTCGGCCGGTGAAATTTTGGATGTGTAATTATTGATGTCATGGACATAATTGTGCTCATCGGAGGATGTTGTTGTAGCTTCTGTGAGGTAATAATTTAGGTTATGAGAAAAAAATGATGATGAAAAAAATCAACTTGTTGGTTCTAAAATTCATTATTGCGATTGTGGATGATTTATTTGACAGCTTCTGGATTAATATATGATGATGATTCACCTTTTATAAGAGCATTGACTCTAATGTGACTTTTGACATTGCAAAAAATTATCCATATCATCAACTTTTGAAAGTTTATTACTAATTTATTCTCCAATGCATCTTGTCATTAGCTCTTTCATGATGATGTGGATGGCATTTAATGTTAACAATGTTGAACTCACTTTCTAATATCTAACACCATGTTAAACATGATGACTCATTAATTCACTTTATATTTGGTTTAATTTTTTATTATTCTTGTATTAATGAATTATTATAATTGGTCCACCTATACAAATAAATTCTTATCAAATTGGTGCATTGGAGATACTAGTTTGATTCAAATTTTTAGTCTTTTAACATTATTCTTATGTGGATTAATATTACAATCATCAATTGACATGTGTTAAAAATTATTGCCTTTCAACACCATAGCATTGGAGATGCTCGAATGAGTCCACTCCACATGAAGGCGTCGAGTGTGTTAATTATTTGCTTCTAATTAGCAGATTGCGCGGTTATCATTTAGGATTCTCACGATTTGTTATTGAAATAATAAATTATGTTAATTATGATTTACATTTGGTACCTTTAAAGGAAAGAATGGAAAAAAATTACCTCGAAATAACACTAATAAATGCATCACATAAAATATTATTATTATTATTACTATTATTATTATTATTATTATTGTTATTATATGTTATTGAATCTATTATATATGTAACCCATTTCGAGGATATGATCCATTGATTTTTACCCATATTATTTTAATATTATATATAGTTGATGATGGAAATAGTTTTTTGCCACTCGATCATAAGCATGCTAATTACTTTCTTAAATTATTTTATACCACATATATTTTACTAAACATACATTTATATTTTATTGTATAAATAACTTTAGGCTACGTTTGAATTGAGGGATTCGAAATCAAGAACTTCAAATCATTTAAGATTTAAACTTACTACTTTCAAACTCCTTGAAATGGTATTTTTGAAATGGATTATAACTAATTCATTGTCTAGCTCGCATCGATACTGTTGGCTCACGGTGGTGATGAATCTAAATGAAGATTCATACTCACTAACGGTGTGGTCGCCATGTTGATGTTGTTTATATGAGAAATAAATTAATCAATATATAGTGTAAAGTGAGCAAATTTATTAGGTTATTTGATGACTATTTTTTAGTAGGAAATTTGTTGAAAAAATAATCAATATACGGTGTACTTTTTTCTGTAATGCACAAGCTAATATATTAATTTTTAGGCCTGTATTTCAATTTTTATTTAAATTTTTTTATGAAATTAACATAATAAAATTATCGTAAGTCCGACAATATAATATGAACGGATATTTATATATAATATGCGTATATCGATGTTTTTTTTTTGTTGAAAAACTCTGGTCATTTTTTTTTTTGGTATAATTAGTGGGTCTCAATTTAATTCATTTTATGTTACGACATTTCAAATTTTTGTGTAAGTTGCACTGTTCATTTTTTTTAGCATGATAAAGAGTGTCGATTTTTTTGGCATAAAAAATCTTATGACTGATTGCTTTTACTCAATGACTTAAATTTTTTTATTTGGATATTTTATATAAAACAAATTCATTTTAGTTAATGAAACAATACAAGGTTTATAATTTCTATACTTATTATTCACATATGTTTTTAAATATATGATAAAATTTTACCAAAATAATTATTTTGTAGAATCACGTTATAGTCAAATCTAATTTCTGAATAAAATTTTTGAAATGACACATATATTGAAACGAAATAATGTAATTTATTATCAATTATGTGCAACGCACGACTTGTATTCTAATTTTAAAAATAAACACTTTTATGTAATTTCGCGCAATTAAATTTTATATACTAATTACAATAAATTAATATAGGTACATTGTATTATATATTGATCCTATGTTTTGAATTTATAAATATTATTTACTGAAAAATTTTAATTTGTAAATATTAATGAATATCTCTTACCCGTGCATCACACGGGATTCGTACTAGTTATAATTATAAAAGAAATGGGCACCATCTAAAAATGAACATGTCAAAATAAATCGTGTAACTGATTTTTTGTTATTATATTAACATTATAATTGTATTTCAGTACATAAAGGGGTTGAAAAAATAGGCACCATCCAAAATGGGACCTGTTAAAATAAATAGTGTAACTAAAAGTTATATATTTTTATTAAATAGTAAACATATTTTTATTAAATGAACACCTAATTTTATTAAAAATAAAAATCCACATGCCCTCATCATATGTTTACCCCAAATTTTTTTCACCAGTCATACACCTTTCTAAACGGAGCTGGAGGAAATTGATTGCCCAGATAGAAGCCATCGGCCGTGACTATCCAAACACACTTATTACCAATTTCAGGGTCTCGAGTTTCACAAGAACCACCAAGCTTCTTATTGAAAACATCATGAGTTATATGCCTTATTTCTGTTATGTACCGACAGTAAAAAAGCGTGGTTCTAAACAGGTTCACTCGGAATTTAAAATGAAAATACTCTCCGGGTAAGAGAGCTTGAGCCCCGAGATAGTTATCTCCCGAAGCACACTCCACATAAAGTGTCGAGTTCTCGACTGGGAGAGAGTTAACTATGAACACGGTAAATTTTTCGGCCGGTGAAATTTTGGATGTGAAATTATTGTTGTCATGGACATAATTAATGTGCTCATATGAGGATGTCGTTGTAGCTTGTGTGAGGTAATAATTAGGTGATGAGAAAAAAATGATGATGAAAAAAATCAACTTGTTGGTTCTAAAATTCATTATTGTGATTGTGGATGATTTATTGGGTAATTTCTGGATTAATAGATGATTCACCTTTTATAACGAGTGCACTCCACATAAAGGCATCGATTGTGTGTTACTTATGTGCTTTTAATTAGCAGATTGCGAGGTTATCATTTAGGATTATCACAATTTGTTATTGAAATATATGGAATTATGTTATGATTGACATTTGATACCTTTAAAGAAAAGGATGGAACAAGATTAATACGATCAATTCCAAAGATATAATCTGTTGGTTTTGAACCATTTTATTTTAATATTATATACATTTGATGATTGAAATAAATATTTACTACTCATTTTATTTTGACATATGAATTTTCCGTTTGTTTCACACGTTATAAAATAGCTGTCAGTTAGAGTTTTTGTTTATAACTAAAGAACATAAAAATTAGCATATTCAAACATTATCAATAAATAATACTTATTAGCAATGCATAATATAAATATTTTTTTTAATCTTACAATTTACATGACAGTTCGACAAATGACTTGTTGGTTGGCAAAATTTCAATTTTGGTACGTTATCTTGTAAAATGTTCTTTTTAGGTACATCAACTTTCCCTTCATAAAAAATAGTCCATTATATTGCAATTTTTATTAATTTTAGGCCACTAATTCTTAGGCGCGGGATAAGATGAGGATGTGGAGTGTATCGAAATGACGTGGATGGATAAAAAACCGACGTAGACTTGAAGTGTGGAAATAATGTCTACGTGGCACGTATTTAACAATTTTTTAACTAGTTTCCCTTCTACATCTTTTTGAACAGGTTTTTTTTTTTTTTTTTTTTANGTTGAGATAAAAAAAATAAATTATAATGAAAGAGAGGATCGGATGAAAAGATTGAGACCTTCAAGGCTAGACTTGTTGCGAAAGAGTACACTCAGAAAGTAGGGATCGATTATGATGAGACCTTTTCGCCAGTAGTCATGCTTAAGTCCATTCGGATTCTTTTGGCTGTAGCCGCTCATATGGGTTATGAGGTGTGACAGATGGATATCAAGACGGTTTTCCTTAATGGGAGTCTTCAGGAGGACATCTATATTCAACAACCAGAAGGTTTCATCGAGAAGGGACATGTGCATCTAGTTTGTAAGCTTAAGCGGTCTTTCTATGGACTGAAACAAGCTTCAGGATCTTGGAATATCCAGTTCGATGAGGTGATCCAGTCGTACGGGTTCACTCAATATTCGGATGAGCACTGTATGTACAAGAAAGCAATGGGAGCGTGGTGATATTTCTTGTGCTTTACGTAGATGACATACTTCTAATTGGAAACAATAAGAAGGAGTTGTGAGACATAAAGGTATGGTTGTCTAATCAATTTGATATGAAGGACTTAGGTGAAACAGGACACATTCTTAGTATTAAGGTTATTCAGGACAATAAGAAGAGATTGTTGTGCTTATCACAGTCTTCATATATAGATATTGTCTTAGCCAGGTTCAACATGCAAGATTCCAAGAAAAGTGAATTACCTTCCAGACATGGAATACCTTTAACCCAGGAGATGTCTCCCTAGACACCTCAAGTGATAGAGGACATGAAGACAGTTACTTATGCATCGGCAGTAGGAAGTCTTATTTATGCGATGTTGTGTACGAGGCTGGATATTAGCTACGCCGTAGGCATGGTAGCTAGATATAAAAGTAATCAAGGACAGGGACATTGGTCTGCGGTAAAGCATATACTCAAGTACCTGAGACAACCTTGGGCAAGTTCATATCCTTCCCTACCATCAGTTGAAGCTCAAGAGACAAGGATTTCAATGGAATGCCGGACCCTCTGATTGCCAGATCTGCCAACTTAAAAGGATTTGGTACCTCAGGCGAGATAGTTTTGTCGTAGTTAAAGAACCACGATGGCGCGAGCATTCCTCTCTGGCCCTCTAGGCTTCATTAAAGGGGTCTCGAGGCAACATACCCTCCGAGAAGGGTTGTTCGTAAGAGGGTCGTTCTCTCTTAGGGAATGAGCCATGCTCTTTT